CATTGCCTGCAGCTCAGATGTGCGGCAGGACAATTCGCACAGGGAGACCAATCTGCTCCGGGGTGCACGGCCCAGGCCCCCTGCCCCCTGCCACTGTCAGTCCTGGGGGGCAACAAGGATCCACTCGATCCCATCCTAAGAACATAAGAATGGCCGCACCATTCCTTACCCATCCTGGCTAATAGCCATTAATGGCCTTAACCTCCATGAATGTATCCAGTTCTCTTTTAAACCCTGTTATAGTCCTAGCCTTCACAACTCAGGCAAGGAGTTCCACAGGTTGATTGTGTGCTGTGTGAAGAACTTCCTTTTATTTGTTTTAAACCTGCTGCCCATTCATTTCATTTGGTGGCCCCTAGTTCTTATATCATGAGAACAAGTAAATAACTTTTCCTTATTCTCTTTCTCCACACCACTCATGACCTCTATCTATTATAGACCTCTATCATATCCCCCCTTCGTCTCCTCTTTTCCATCGAGTTACGGCAGGGGGTGCTTCAATCCTGCCCTGGGCTTGGTGCCCTCCCTGCCTGGCTCCATCCGCAGTCAGGGAGCCCCTCAAGTACCCACTGGCAGAGGTGTGCAGCACGGAGCTGGGGGGAGAGTGAAATCTCCCGGCCAGGCCCTGTAATGAATTCATGGCCCATCCCTGTGAGGGAGGGACTCCATGATCCCCCCACGCCCCAGTCTCTGGTGCTATAGCACTGGGCTAGGCGGGCTGTCACCCTGACCCCCCCTTGACAGTGGCTCGCCTGGCAGGGAGATGCTCTGCCCGTGAGTCTGCGTCTCTTGGCACATGCGGGAGGGGGCTCTCTGGGGAGCCCCGTTCCATAGGGGGAGAGGCATGCCCATTGGGGGTGCTCCCGAGTTGCGGGTCACGGTGGGATCCAGCCAGACACCGCGGAGGCGGCTAGGCAGGGTCTGGGGAGAGCCCTGGCAGTGAGCTCACAGCTGGGCATCACCTGGGCTTGTGACCCCCGTCGCTTTGTGGGCAGCCCTTGACGGTCCCCAGGCCCTTCCCCCACCTCTGTCTCTGCACAGGATTGGCTTATCTGGACCCACTGATTCCCCCTCCCCTGTGCGACAGTCCAGCTGCCCCCCACCCCTGCCGAGGGCCAGGTCTGACCGGGCTCGACTCTCCGGCTCTGCAGGCAAGAAGCTGATTGACAGGAAGACGGAGGAGCTGGAGGGGCGTCTGGAACGAGGCGAGCAGGTGTCGGGCTACCTGAGTTACCTGCTGGCCAGCGGCAGGCTGACGCCGGAGGAGGTGTACGGCAGCGTGGCCGAGCTGCTGCTGGCCGGCGTGGACACGGTAGGGCGGTGCGGCGGAGACGGCCACCTGGCCTCCTTCCGGCTCCCTGCCCCAGTGGGGTCAGGCCCGGGGGCTGCTGCACAAACCCCATTGCGTGGGGTTGCTGAGGAGCTGCTGTGTGTGGGGAGGGGCGGGGCGGGGCAGGCACCCCAAGGGCAGATGTGGTGGGTCCAAAGGGAGCGCGCTGGGTAGCTGTGGACTCTGTGGCCATGGGGCCTAGTGGGTAGAGCAGCGGATCGGCCTTGGTTCCATTCCTAGCTTGCCACGGCCTTGCTGGGTGAGTCCCGTCCCGTCTGGACCTCAGTTTCCCCTCACTGCCTTTTTCGGGTCTATTTAGAGGGTGAGCTCTTTAGGGCAGGAGCTGTCCCTGACTGTCTCTGGGCAGTGCCTGGCATAACGGGGGCCCCATCTCCAAAGGGGTCTGGGCAGCACCTGGCACAACGGGGCCCCATCTCCATAGGGGTCTGGGCAGCGCCTGGCACAACAGGGCCCTGTCTCCATAGGGGTCTGGGCAGCCCGGCACAACTGGGGCCCTCGTCTCCATAGGGGTCTGGGCAGTGCACCAGGGCCCCCGTCTCCATAGAGTCTGGGCAGTGCACCAGGGCCCCTGTCTCCATAGGGTCTGGGCAGCACCTGGCACAATGGGGCCCTGTCTCCATAGAGTCTGGGCAGTGCACCAGGGCCCCTGTCTCCATAGGGTCTGGGCAGTGCCTGGCACAACAGGGGCCCCCGTCTCTGTATGGGTTTGGGCAGCAGCCGGCACAGTGGGGCCCCCATCTGTGTAGTCGTGTGGGCAGCGCCTGGCACAATGGGGCCCCCATCTCAGTTGGCACTAGCATAACATAACCAGCCGTGGGGGTTCTGGGCTGGCAGTCCCTGCCGTGCTGAGCTGGGTTTACGCTGAGCTCGGAGCTGCTGAAGGCTTTGCTTGGGGGGTGTCCTGCAGCCACTGGCTCTGAGAGGAGCTGTCCATGTGGGGCAGGGCGGGGGGCTGGATCAGGCAGCATGGGGCACCCTGTATGTCACAGCCTGCTCCCGCTTTTCCTCCCTGCGACCTCACCCCGGCTCTGCTGTGCCCCTCCCAGACGTCCAACACCTTGTCCTGGGCCCTCTACCACCTGGCCAGGGCCCCAGAGACCCAGATCTCCTTGTACCAGGAGGTGAACAGTGTCGTGCCCAGAGAGCGGATCCCTGGTGCCGAGGATCTCGCCAAGATGCCGCTGCTCCGGGCCATTATCAAGGAAACGCTCAGGTACGTCCCCGGCTCTCCCCAGGGCCTGGCCTGAGAGGGTCCCCCCTTGGCAGAACCCCCAGCCTCAGCGTGTTAGCATCCCTGGGCGGGGTGGGGCAGCTCTCATGAAGGGAGGGTGACATGGGGGCTGTGACAGCACCATGCACCTCACTAACCGCAGGTAGCACCCACCCCCCCAAGTCCCAGGGAGATGGCCCAGCGCCAGTGTGACCCAGAGCCCGGTAATGGACCAAACGTCCATCGGGGCATTCGCCAGCACAGAAGGATGGGCCAGCGGCCAGGGCACCGGCTCCAACTCAGCATCCCGTGCTCTGCTCTCACAGACGCCCTGTGTCCTTTGGACTCTGTGCCTCAGGTTCCGTCTGTGCAATGGGGATAATGGCTCTGCGCGGGGGGTGGGGGGGCGTGCCATGTGCCCCATCCCATGCCGTAGCCCCGTCTCTTCTCCCTGCCTGGCAGGCTGTACCCCGTGGTCCCCACCAACGCCAGGGTCATGGTGGAGAAGGACGTCGTCATTGGAGGCTATCGCTTCCCGAAGAACGTGAGTGGGAGTCTCTGGTCTGCTTCCCGGCCCACGGGGCTCGGGCTGTCGCTCCCCAGCCCTGCCGCTGCACTGGCTGCAGGGCCCAGAGAAGGAGCTGGAGGAACTAGATGTACCACGTGAAGGCAGCACAAAACCAGCTCTGCTTGGAAAAGGACCAGTCTAAAGTAGGGGGTGGTGGAGCCCAGGGCTCGGCTAACAGGGGCTGCGGGTCGGGAGTGAGGGGCACCGGCAGAGCTGGTGGGGGAGGGAGAGCCCAGGGCTGGGCTAGCAGGGGCTGTAGGTCGGGAGTGAGGGGCACCGGCAGAGCTGTGGGGGGGCGCCCAGGGCTGGGCTGGGCTAGCAGGGGGCTGCAGGTCGGGAGTGAGGGGCACCGGCAGAGCTGTGGGGGGGCGCCCAGGGCTGGGCTGGGCTAGCAGGGGCTGCAGGTCGGGAGTGAGGGGCACCGGCAGGGCTGTGGCGGGGGAGCCCAGGGCCTACAGGTCCCGAAGAAGGGGTGCTGGTAACTAAGCCCCCTTCAGGCCCAGATCTAGCCAGCGCCCCCAGCCCCTCCGCCCAGGGCTTTGGTCCCTCACTTGCCCGTGGCCGCCAAGAGGAGTGGCACGTGGCCAGGGCCACGGGTTGCCGCGGGAACGGGTCTCACCTCCTTCGTCTCCGGCTCCATCAGACTCTCTTCGTCCTGGCTCACTATGCGATGGCGCACGACCAGAGCAGCTTCCCGGAGCCCGAGCGCTTCCTGCCCCAGCGCTGGCTCCGGGGCCACGGCTCCGCCCACCACCCCTTCAGCTCCATCCCCTTCGGCTACGGGGTCCGCGGCTGCCTGGGCCGGCGCATCGCCGAGCTGGAGATGCACCTGGCTCTGGCCAGGGTGAGTGGGGACCCCGCGGTGCCAGCGGGCGGACGGGGGGAATTGGCCACGGGCCACGGGCCGCAGGACGGAGCTCCGAGGGCCGGAGCTGCAGACACCCCCCCTCCCATCAGAGAGATGCGCTGCCCCCAGGTCTCAGGGGTGCTACATGACTCTATGCCCCAAGAGGGGGAACTCAGTGTCCCCCCACCCTGCAGGAGCCGACTGCCCCAGCCACAGCACAAGCCCCCAGACAGGGCCCGTGTGCACAACCACTAGGGGAGAATCCCCCCGGGGGGGGCAGAAGGGGGCTCTGGGGCATTGGAGAGATGAGACGTCTCCTTCTCCTTACAGATCGCCCGGACGTTCGAGCTGCGGCCGGACCCCCAGGGCACGGAGGTGAAGTCTGTCTCCCGCATTGTCCTGGTGCCCAACAAGCCCATCAACCTGCAGTTCATTGCCCGGCCGCCGGCCCCCTGAACGCGCCCACCCTGCATTGCTCCTCCCACGCCCTGGCCAGGGCACCGTGCGAGTCCGCCCCTCACCTGGGCCTGCCGGGCAGGACGGGTCTGCCCTGGGCCCGGCTCTCTCCCCGTCAGGCCCTGGTGACGGCAGCTGCCCACGGGTCAGGCTGGAGGTGGGATCTCGGCTGGCGGGGGCGGGGCAGCCGTGGGATCTCAATGTAGCTGGAATCAGTGGGTGTTCCTGGGCCTGTCGCTCTCCAACGTTACGGGGGGTTGAACAGCGTCTGGGGATCTCACACCACCCCGAAGAGCAGCTTGCCCCCCTCTCCCTCGCCCTGATCTCCCCCTGCCCCGGGGCTGCCCGTTCCTGGCTGGGGGAGTGCAGGGCTGGGCGGAGGGAGGGGTTGTGGGTTTTGCCCCCAGGGAGAAGCCCCAATGTGCCCCCGCTGCTCTAGCGCCACCTAGGCCCTCCCCGCTGTCATAAACATACAGCTCCGGGGAGCATCAAATCCCTCCTTTACCTGTAAAGGGTTAAGAAGCTCAGATAATCTGGTTGGCACCTGACCAAAAGGACAATAAGGGGAGACGATCCTTTCAAATCTCGGGGGGAGGTTTTTGTTTGTACCTCTTTGTGTTTCTCTCCCGGCCAGACGGACCAGGGCAGGAAAAAAACCTCTCTTAAACCCCTACCTGAAATAAGCATCTAAGATTACAAACAGTGTAAGTAAGGCAAGGAAATGCGTTCGATTATCTTTTGTTTTAGCTTGTGAATTTTCCCTAGGCTAAGAGGGAGATTTATTCCTGTTTTTTGTAACTTTACAATTTTGCCTAGAGGGGAATCCTCTGTGCTTTAAATCTTATTACCCTGTAAAATTATCTTCCATCCTAATTTCACAGAGGTGCTTCTTTTACTTTTTTCTTTATAATAAAGTTCTGCTTTTAAGAACCTGATTGGTTTTCAGTGTCCTAAAACCCAGGGTCTGGTCTGTGCTCACCTGGTTTACCTATCGGTTGGTAGATTATTCTCAAGCCTCCCCAGGAAAGGGGGTGAAGGGGCTTGGGGGATATTTGTGTGTGGGGGGATAGGGCTCTAAGTGGCCCCTCCCTGAATGTTTGTTTAAATCACTTAGTGGTGGCAGCGATACCGCCCAAGGAGAAGGGAAGGATTTGTGCCTTGGGGAGTTTTTAACCTAAGCTGGTAGAAATAATGCGGGTCCCCACATCTGTACCCCAGAATTCAGAGTGGGGAGGGAACCCTGACACCCACACACACCCCTTCCCCCCCCCCGGGACAATTTCTGTCGTGGGCGCCGCCAGGGGGGACCCGTCCAGCTGTGCCACCCTGCGGAATGGACAGGCCCGGCCGGAGCTCGGCTGCAGCTCCATTCACCTCTGCCACCGGCCTGCTGCCTGGATCTGGGGCTAACGCACAGGGCTGGGCACCAGGACTCCTGGGTTCAAACCCCAACGCTGACCCTGACTCATCCCCGCCGTGGCCCTGAGGCCCTGGGGCTAGCAGCAAAGCAGGGACAGCACTGGTGAGCAACCTGCCCCGTGTTTGCAAACTCCCAGCACCCCCGGGCGGCCGGGGCTTGGGGCAGGGGGGCTGGGGAGCCAGCGCTGCCCCGGGGGCAGGTGGGGGGATCCTGTAGCCCAGCTGAGAGCAGCAATAAAGCACCAGGCGTTGAGCTCCTGCAGCGCTGGGTTTGAGTGATGTGGAGCGTGGTGGGGGGCAGCCCCATTCCCTGGGGCCAGTGAGCACCCGCCTCGGCTCAGCTGCAGCACCAGGCCAGGGGAGGGGGCACGGGCCTGATTTGGAGGTCGGGGGGGGGGACGAGAGGTTGGCGTGATGGGGGCAGCTTGGCATGTGGCTGCAGTTCCTGGGCTACGCTGGGCCCCCAGACCCGGGCTCCCCCACTGCAAAGCAACCAGCCCCTCGGCTCGGCCTGCTGCCAGCCCAGGCTTTGCTGCCACACTGGCACGTCACCGGGCGGTGGCAGCCCCGACCCGCCGGGTGCCCGTGGGCAGTGGGGCCCCGCGTTCGCCGGGCAGTGGGGCCCCGCGTTCGCCAGGCTGCGGCTCACTCCCGAGCAGCGTTTCTGTGGCAGGCGAACGAAAGCAGACCAGGGAGAAGGAAAGGCCTGAGGCACACGGGGGAGTGCGGCCTGGCCCAGAGTGGGGGGGCCCGACCCCAGGCCAGCCGCGGATGGGGGTTTGCCTCAGCTCTGCCGTGGGTCTGAGACCCCGGGTTCTTCTCCCAGGAGCCAGGCTCACTCTGCTGCCAGCTTGGCCCCACGTGTGCCAGGCCCCCGATGCTCCTGGACAGAGTCGCCCCAAGGGAAGCCCTGGGGCCAGGGGCTGGCTGGCCTGCCCTACTGCCCCACCTCCCCCCACCCGCCTCTGCCCCATGCCACACTGACAAACCCACCCCGTCAGCAGGACAGGGCGTCTCACTCATGGGTGCTCCAGCCCAATGACCCCTTGGCCGTCCCGGGGTGGGGAGGGGGATAAAGGCCCCCACCCCCACAGGGTGAGATCTCCCTCTCCAGAAACCATCCCGGGCCCTTACCCGCCTTGCCCATTTCCTCCGTGGTGCTACCCTCTGCCCGTCAGGGAGGGTGGCCCAGAACCTCCCCCTCCCCCCAGCTGGAAGGCACCAGATGCCACCACAGTGAACTGCCCCCAACGGCGTCCGAGGAAAAGGTTCCCCTTGGCAAGACACGGCACTGCCCCCAGGGCCCTCTCACCTCTGCCAGCCCCCTGGCCACGCCCTCACCCCACGGCTGCCCCCTGGCCTGGGGTTCCCCAGGGCTCTGGCCGCGCACCACGGCTGGCTGCTGGAAACGCCCGGGGAGCCCTGGGCCTGGGTGGCACCACCCACTGATGGTCCCGTGGGATTCTGCATCCCAGGCGCCGGGCTGGGATCCCGGCGGGCCGGTTTCGGCTCAGTTCAGATTAGCAGGCGTTGCTGGGGGCATCCCCCCTTTGGCTAATGACCCCCAGTTCTGGGCTCTCTTGGAAGAGCTCGGGCTCTGGGGTGGCTAGTGCCCTCCAGCTCAGCTGCCCTAAATAATCACCCAAGGCCAGGTGCCAGCCTGTTCCCAGCTTGGAGAGCAGCGGGCATGACCCTCCAGCTGCCGCGCTGCCCATTCCCCTGGACCCGTGTTATGCCAGCGCCACCTGGTGCCTCGGCCCGCCAGAGGGCTCAGTTGGGACGCTCAGAGCCCGCTGCCAAGGGCCAATCTCGGGCATGAAGGCACCCGGAGAGGAGCCCATAATGTCTGGCGTTTGCTCCAGGGTTGGCCCTGGGTCAGGATGGGGGAAGGGGTATTTGCCACCCGTGGGGCATGATACAAGGTGCCACGGGCAGAGGGGGAGCAATGAGGAATGTCAGCCTGGTGCCCGGCGAGGGACGATGTTACATGCCCAGCGTTCAGGAGGAGGAGTGGCACAGCCAGCCACGAATTAAATACACATACCCCCACGCGTGGCCCCTGGCGCTCACCGGCTACCCTACAATAACACGCACCGCCCAGCGCCACAGTACCCAGCCAGCGTGGGCTGCTCACCAATAACAACCCAGTGTGCGGAGCTCAGCGTCCAGAACCGCCAACAACGCAGGGGGAGCAACCCCACAATAACGGGGGGGGGGGCACACCTGAGTGACCCTACAATAACAACCCCCTGCACTAACAAAGCAGTATGCCAACACAGCGGAGGGGTGGAAGCCATCGGGGAAAGGGGCACTTTAGTCTCGTTCCTCGGGGGCGTTATATACACCAGCTCCAGCGCCAGAGGGAGCGGCCGGGCGGAACCGGAGCTGAGGCGACAGACGCGCTTTGCCTTGCAAGGAGGCTGGGGGGCCGGGAGCTCTGTGGCGGGGCTGGACTTTGCGGGTATCTCCCGTGTCACTTGAGCTTTGCTTTCTACGTGACGGCTGCCCCCGGCCCCGTGGGGCCTGGTGGCTCTTCCCTGGGCCAGGCCCGGCCAGGTTCCAAGCCAAGCGCAGCCCCGGCGCGTGCCAGGGGGCAGCTCCGTGTCTATGGCCGCTTGGCTTCCCCGTGTCCTGCCGCTCATCAGCTCCCAGAGAGAGCAACCCCAAGGCACAGACAGTCCCAGAAATGGAGTCACCGGCCAGGCTCCGCCATGGCCTCCCACGCGGCCGTCCTCCCCCAGGCAGCACCAAGGGGCCATCCAGACAGTCGTGGCAGCAGCCCTCCCCGGCACCTTCAGAGCGAATGCCGGCTGATGCCTGCAGAAAACCAGGGATGGGGGTTACCAGGATGCAGCAGCTGCCCCCACTCCCCCCCGCACCAGCTGCCAGAGGACCCGGCCCTGCCAGCCGCGTCTCCAGGCACCCACTGCAGGCCTGTTCAGACGACAGGTCCCAGCATGCAATACACTGGTAGGGTTTTGCACCCTGGGACTTGTAGCTGCCATGGGCTGCCCCCCAGTGTGACCTCAAGCCACCGCCGGCCCGTGGCCAACAGTGCAGACACAGCAGATCGCACCCGCGGGCACGGCCCCATCCTCCCGGGGTGCTCCCAGCTGGCTGGGCAAATGCCCCAGCAGGTGGACGGCAGAGCTCAGCCCCGTGGCCATTCCAGTGCCCCAGCCCCACTCCGGTGCGGAGAGCAGGAGTCACGGGTTAAAGACGCCGGGGAGGCCAGGAACCAGCCTGTCCCCTTGGCTACGGCTCCAAACCGGGCAGCGGGATCCGGCCATTTGCCCAAGTCTGGGGCCAGCAAAGAGCTGGCAGCTGAGAACGGCTCCCACTCGGATACGGGCCACCCGCAGCCAGGTTAGAACCGGGGCCCTCCGGGCAGCAGACCCCATGCCCAGTGCCCCCAAGCCAGCCCTCCTCCACCCGCCTGGGCCAGTACCCTGCCCATCCCGCCATCCACAGCTCCTGGCCCCCGTTCTGGCCTCAAACTGAGGTGACTGGCTGAAGGGGGGCGGGGGGAGAGACAGTAAGGTGGGCGCATGCCGGAGGAAAGGCCCCACTGTGCCCAGGGGCATGGGGGGGGGGCTTGGGCCCCAGGCCTCTCGGAAGCTCTGCCAAGCAGCCTTCTGCAGAGCCACCGGCAAACGCCTTCCCCCCACGGGTGCTACCCCTACCTGTGCCCAGCCAGGCGCGAAACCAAGGCAGATACTGTGACGCAATGGGACTGTTCTTAATGTTTTCTCTGAATACTGTGTGGGTGCCTCAGTTTCCCCTATGCAGTTCTTAAGTATCTAGGTGGGGGGATAAGGGGGTGTGACAGTTGCAGAGCCCGAGAGGGCCAGTGTGATGGTGTCTGCACAGAGAAGGGCCGACATCCTGCCTCCTGGCAGCTGATGGCCTGGGCCCCTCCTCAGCAAAGGTGCCAACTGAAGGTGTTGGAGAACAAAGTGATCAGGTGACCTCCTGGCCCGGGAAAGAGACAAAGGGAGAGGAGGGGCTGGAGAGTTTCAGTTTGGAGCTGGT